TCAGTGAAACCCCATCTCAAAATAAAAACTAAAAAGGACTAGGGATGTAGCTCAGTGGCATGTGCAAAGCTCTGGTTTGATCCAGTATCACAAAAAAGTAAAATATAAGCCTGGTGAATAGATAAAACACTTGGTAGACTAAGAGTGTGAAGACCCAAATTCTTATCTCCGCCTCATTAATGATTAAATGATTCTGAGCCTCAACTTTTTCATTTCTAAAATAAATGAACAGCCCCTTTATTGTAGAATTTCAAATTCTGTTATGTCTGTAAAACTCTTAAAGTACATACAGGCAGCAATAGAGGACAAAAAGGAGCAGGGTAGCCTTTCAGAGCAAAAAATCCTCACTTGGGAACCTCACATCCACTATGAACTGGCTCTGTGTTCTTCAACCACTTAATCCTCATATGTAAAACTAGAAACACGATGTGATTAAATAAAATAACACATTTCAGGGGGCCTAAGACTGATATAGTGTAAATACTGTTATCCCATTAACTACATATATTTCCAGAAAGAAGCTTTTGTAATTATCATTAAAACTACAGAAGCTCCTTGACTAATAAGGGGGTTATATCCTGATGAACCCATTGTAAATTGATAATGTAAATCCAAAAGGCATTTAAGGGCTAGGGGTGCAGCCCAGTGTAGAGCACCTGCCTAATACACACAAGGCTAAGTTCCATTCCTAGCATCACAGAAAAAAATGCATTTGCTACACCCGACCTAGCCAACATCACATCTGATCACCACAGCATACTGTAATGTACTGCTCACCCTCATGATCCCAAGGCTGACTGGGAGCTACAGCTCACTGTTATTGGCCAGCATCATGAGACATTAGTGGACAAGACATTACTAGCCCAGAGAACAATCAAAATCCATATTCAGGGCTAGGAATGTAGCTTGGTGGTGGAATATTTGCCTAGTATGCACAAAGCCCTGGAGTTCTTTGGTTTGAGGTTTGTTGTTTGTTTGGCAGGGGCAGGGGGAAGGTACTGGGGCGCTTTACCATTGAGCCACATCCCCAGCCCTTTTTATTGTTTACTTTGAGACAGGGTCTCTCTAAGTTGCTTACTGAGGCTAACTCTGAACTTATGACTCTCCTGTCTCAGCCTCCCATCTCGCTAGGGTTACAGATGTGTGTCTCTTGCTTTCATATCATCATAAAGTCAAAAAAATAACAAGTAGAATGTAAGTCTAGGACTACCCGTATTTAATCAAAACTCTCCTGAGAAGAAAGTAATTGAAGATTCCACTTTTTTTCCCAAGGAGAGTATAGCAGGCTCATTCAATCACCTATCAATTTAACAGGTCATGGGTTAGCCTCTTATTAGGGGCTATTGGTTACTGAATCATTTACCTCACAGGTCAAGTAATAAACTGAAAGGAACTTGTAATGATGGATTTCTTCAACTATTGAAGCCTTATGTTTAGGCTGAAGTTTTGCCTATACATCACATGTCTTGGTGAGATTATTTTTTTACTTCATTTTCTCCATTTATTTCATTCATTTTGTTAACATAAAAAATAAGTTTTATATATAATGATTATTTCAGGGGTGGAAAACCAATTATAATCTCCCAAAATTTTCCTGTTTTATGTTCTGATAGTGAAAACTGACTTAAGCATCTCACTCAACGAGTGATGGCTGGCTTCCCACCTTAACCATTCACAACACACCACTGACCCTGGGACTAAGATCCATGAACTCATAGCCTATGTACTTATTTTCTAGATGCCATTGAGTCCTTGCTCAGAATTTTTTTTTTTTTTTTTTCAAATTAAGACATGATATTTATACATCTTTCTGGGTACCAGGGCCTGTTTTCCCTTACTGAAGTAGAATTTCAACTTCAAAATTTTATGACTCTGATTAGTTCCTGGTTAAACAAATCAGCCATAAAAGTATTTGGAGGACAACCAGGTAAATCTGATTATGGACTGGGTTTTAGATAATATTAGGGAATTATTGTCAATTTTATTAGGATAAAATATTGTAGCTTTGTCTTATTTTTTTTAGAGATAATAAAAAATGAAGTATTTAGAGGTAGATGTCATAATGCCTATGATTACTTTACAGTTATTTAAGAAAACAATATAGGAAATATGGACAGAACATTTATTGTTCAAACTCAGTTCTGAGAATATGAGTGTTTATTATACTAGTTCCTCTGGTTTCCTGTATATTTTAAATTTTTCACAATTAAAAAGCATTTTTTGAATTCCACAACAAAGATTTCAGGGCTGATTTCCTAACCTGTAGTAGGTCAGAAGCAGGAAGGAGAGAAGGGCAGAGGGCAGCTGCAATAAGGCATGCTGAGAGCTGCAAGAAACGCAAACAGCAGCCCCAAAGAAAGAAAATACACAACCAGACCACACGGCACATAAAATGCAAAGCAAGTCAATGGTCTGGCGCACTCAAGATAGGAGTTATCCAAAGCTAACCCTGGAAGCATCTCAGTGTAACAAAGCAGTGCAATAATTAACAGAGACCAAGATTCTTGTCTTGCTTTTTATTGCTAACTAACTAACCAACCACATAGCATATTTTCTTACACAAAAATAACATTGCTGAAAGTTAAAAAGAAAAAAATACATATAATATCACAACTCGATAACTACAAAAAGAATCTTGGCCAATATTCCCAACTATTTCAATCTACCAACTTCGCATACATGGCTTTATATTTTAAAAAGTGACCACTTTCCAACTTCTTACTTATCACATTTTTATAAACAAGGAGTGCATAGAATGTAATTAATAAACTTCACCCTAAATCAAGCTAATCGATTTTTCACTTAAACACACAGTATTTCAATGAACACCACTCTACATACAATTTTTTCCTTCTTTCAGATTATTTACTTGGGATAGTATCTCAGAAATGAGATTAGTGGGTCAAAGGGGTGAATGTATTACACCAAGCTGCATTCCACCGCACACTCCTTCAACACCACAGATCAGACTTGTCATGACCACTTCATCTTAGAACTGGTTCAACCTTTATATGGGTAATTCCTAAATTTTAAAATATTTAATAATACAATTAACAGAAAAAAAACAACCCTTTTCCGTATGTTCCTTCACCAAAAGCATTTCATTTTCTGTGACTTTTCATGTTATGAACTTTCTGTGACCTTGACTTACATTATCTCGAAAATGAGAAGACTGTATCAACTTCACTAGTAGTCAGGAAAGTAAAAATTAAAGAGGGACTGTTTCTCAGACATGAGATAGCAACATTTCAAGACTGGTAGGTTTCAGTGTTAGTGAGATTTCAAGGAATGGGCATTCTCATTTAAATTGCTGAGGGTGGGCCGGGGTTGTGGCTCAGTGGTAGAGCACTTGCCTAGCATATATGAGGCACTGCGTTCGATCCCCGGCACCATATAAAAAATAAATAAATAAAAGTATAGAAAATAAAAAATAAATTTAAAGAAAAAAAGAAAGATAAATTGCTGGGGGTATGTGCATTTGACACTGATCTGATGTATCTATAAAAACTGTCCGTGCACACTCACCTTAACCCAGGAATCCAACTTCTAGTACTATGTTACAGAAACAAAGGCAATAATAAGGAAGAATTTATGTTTATTACAAGATGGTTTATAAAGACAGACGAGAAAACTGGAATCCTGTAAAAGCTCATCCAGGAAAATAGTTAAAGCTCATGAGTTATAACTCATCCATACTAAGGATTTTTTTTTTTTTTCCTTTCTCAGCACTGAGGATCAAACCCAGGGCCTCCCATATTCTACAGATAAGTGCTATACCACTGAGCTACACCCCAGCCCCACTCCAGGGAATATCAAGCAGAAACTTAGAGATCCAGGATGTACTGATATATAAGCAAGCAAGCAGCTTTGGGATCGCGATACAAATTTTTATTTTTATTTTTTTAATTTTTAAAGGCGAAGCCCTATTTATGTATAATAAGCATTTGTGTTTATCACTACAGAGAAAGCTGCAGAAGATATAGCAATCTTATAATAATATTTCTTCAGTCTGAGGGAAGAAAGAGAAATCATTCCTTTATTCATAATTCTCTACATTATTTGAATTATTATTATTTGCCTATTGGTATTTTTTTTTAATGTCCAAAGATAGCAGGAATTTTTTTAAAGGAATATTGTACAGGATATCTCTTATTTAACTCCCAAACTATTACAACATTATGAAGCAAGGTTCACCGAGAGGTAGCTGATCTTTAATGAATGGCTGAATTATGTTCACTATACCACAGGAATACTTAATATAGTTTTGTAAGATTTACAACAAAAATGCTTAATACTTTTTGAAGTGCTGACACAACAGAGTAAGAAGGGAAAAAATTAACTTATGTCAAACACCTTGGCCCCAACGTCCAACTCTGGATAAATGAAACATCATATTATCCAAGTCACTGAGCTGTGCAAAAAATTCCACCAAGAGTGTGTGAGAACATGTACAGAACTCCTCTCCCACTAGCTCCTAGACTCACTCACTCTAGTGAGACGGCAGCATGAATAACAGGGTTACTATATTATGGGTACTCAGAGAACAAGAATCTTATTATAAATCTCGATTTCCTGCCCAAAAGAAAACAGGAAAAAGTTCTAACCATTTTCTAAGGAAAATCTCCTGATTAATGAAAATATTTCAGGAGGGATGAGTCTTCCTTTTCAATGTATCCAAGCTTAATAATTCATATCCATCCGTGCTACTTGTGGGCTCTTACTGACTAGAACTACTCACACAAAATTTAAAAGCACACATCGTCAAAGCTCCTGGGAAGTGGACAGAAACATCAATTTTCATAAGTAGGAGCAGTGTTTAAATGCATACCAGTGGTAGCAGGAAAGCTTCATCCATACCAGTCTCTAGGTAAGGCGGGAGGTTTTAATATCAGAATTGCTTTTGAAATTATAAATGAAAAAAAAAAATTGGACCTTAAACATTGCTCAATTAAATAATTCAAAATCTTCAAATCAGAAAAGAGTACTGGTTTTAAACATACCGTGCCTACAATCTTCATCAGCTTGTCCATAGTTTTTCTGCAAAATAAAAAGATACAAGATAAAATTAAGTAGTTCAAGAACTGCTTTTTGTTGTTGTTGTTGTTGTTGTTACTAAGGACTGAACTCAGGGGCACTTAACCACCAAGCCACATCCCCAGGCCTATGTTGTATTTTATTCAGAGACAGGGTCTCACTGAGTTGCTCAGTGCCTCTCTTTTGCTGAGGCTGGTTTTGATCTGGTGTTCCTCCTGCCTTAGCCTCCCAAGGTGCTGGGATTACAGAAGCGCTGGGATTACCAGCGTGCACCACCATGCCTGGCCCAAGGACCGCTTTCAACAAAGATGTTAGCAAAGAGAAGCTCATCTTTGTCTCAAAGTTGAATCACAAAGGTTATAAATTTAACCCATTAATTCACAGAGCAGAACTAACGCTGTGTTCAGGGAGGGTCACACGACACTCTACACAAATGACACTCTACACACACACCGGCACAACTCCCTTGTCCACTGACCCCCACCCAGACTTCTCACCTTCTTTCACTTCAGCTAGCCTCAGGTTCCTTCCAAGCTTGAATGAGAAAACTGGAGCCGTGAGGAGAGAATTTCCAGACTGTGACCACCTCATCTACCCGCTTCCCACTAACCCTGTTCCTGCTCCTGTCTAAACTCCTGCTCCGCCGCCTACTCCAGTCAGATCCACAGCTACATTCACGTTGCCACGTGCCCAGTGGTAGCCACTGATACTGGAGAACGTTTGCCCACTCTGTCAGTGGTACTTTCTTCACACAGCTCCCAGGACACCCGGCTTTCTCCCTTTTCCTTTTCCTGAGGTTACTCTTCAGGCCACTCTGCTGGCTCCTCCTCTTGTGTCCAACCTCTTGACACTGTGGTACCACAAGACCAAAGCCTTGGTCCTCTCTTCTCTATCCACTCTGTTCACCAGGCTCTAGACTGTATCCCACGGACTCTCCCAAACTCTATGCCTGCACACCCGAACACTCACTCAATGCCTCCCACAGGATAGTAAATGACATGTCCAACTCCAGAGGTCCAAAAGTGAGCTCACAACACCTGCTCCCCTCTACCGTCTCTCACTTCAGCTGAAGGAAGTTCCATTCTTCTAATTGAGGCAAGTGACTGTGACAGCTCTCTCTCTCATTCCCACACCCAGCAAATCTGACCATTTCCACCTTCAAAAGAGCAACTTCTCACTATCGCCACTGTTAGCGTTTGGGGCTGAGTCACTGTCATCTTTGGCCTAGATTATTCTAACAGTCTCCAAACTAGTCTTCTTACATGTACTCTTATTCCTTAATAATCTCTTTTCAACGTAAGTCACATAATTCCTACTGAATCATACCATACCACTCTTCCACTCAAAGTGCTGCCACAGCTCCCTGCCTCACAGAAACAATCAGTCCTTAGGATGACCACAGGCTCTGCCCTTTCTCCTCTCCTGTATGCACACCCTACTCCAATCACAATGTCCTCCCAGCTATTTCTCAAACATGGCAGGCATGCTTCTGCCTCAGGGCCTTTGCATGACTGTTCCCTTTGCCTGTATTGCTCTTCCTCCAGCTTTCCCTGTGGCTCAGCCCTGCCTCCTCCTTCTCAGTAGGCCTATCTTGATCACTGAATATTTTAAGCTGCCCCTATGTCCAACCCTGGTACTCCCTTGCCCTGCTCTCCTTTTGTCATGTAGTTAATCTATAGTGTTTTATTTATAGTAGCTATTGTTTGTCTGTTCCCCTACCAGAAAAAGTATCATGAAGAAGGAATCTTCTTTCATCAGTACATTCACCAAGTTCCTAGAGAAGTATGTGGTACACACTGTCACTTAGTAAATACTTGTCACTTAGTAAATACTTGTGGAATGAGTGAATAATTCAAAATGCTGCACCACAGCACAATTTTCTAAGTTTAAAAACACAGTTTTAACCATCAAAGATATTCCGAAACTACCAGGCACTTCACTCATATCTCTTCAAGTCAAAATTAGCTGATTTGTACAGGAATAACCAGCCATAGTCCTGACCACCAAAAAGGGCCATTTTACCCAGTTCCGCATTGGCATGCCAACAGTGTTAACTCACCAGTTGCAAAAATGAGGCAATTCTGTAAAGAAGACTCTCGATTTTGATGCGTTCTATCTCCAGTGGACATGGCCCTGAGAAGTCTGCCATGGAGTACTGGCCGAGAGAAAGGAGGGCCTCTGTGCAGTACTTGAGGGCCATGTCATAGTCCTGCCTCTTCAGTGACTCACATGCTTGTTCACATGACTTTTCAGCTCTTCTGTCTTCCATGACTCAGGGACAAAAATCCTAAAGACAGGGAGAAAAGAAAAAGTAAGAGATTTTTTTTAAAGATTTAGCAATTATAAATTCTAGGCCATTCCTATCTCAACTTGCTTAATTATCTATCTAAGTAGTTTCTTTCAACTAGTCTCCGGCTCAAGGTCACAATTAAGTTATTGATGCTACAAAATCTAAACTTCTCTTTTATATTTTATGAAGTCTGTAATAATATCCAAGTCAACCATAACCAGGTGCGGTGGCGCACATCTGTAATCCCAGTGGCTCTGGAGCCTGAGACAGGAGGATCACAAGTTCAAAGCCAGCCACAGCAAAAGTGAGGTTCTAAGCAACTCAGTGAGATCCTGTCTCTAAATAAAATACAAAATAGGGCTGGGGATGTGGCTCAGTGGTCGAATACCCCAGAATTCAATCCTGATACCACAAAAAAAAAAAAAAAAAGTGTTGATCATAAGCCAGGATCATATCAAATTTATAAATGAGACAAATTTATAAATAAATCATGACTTTAAATACTACAAAGTAAAACAAACCATAAAGGATTTCCTTCTTTTAACCAAAGGTGAAGAAATATTTCATATACAAACCTTTAAATTCCAGTCTCCCAATTTCAATCTTGCAATAACTGTGACTGCAGAAAATCAAAATCTATATAGTGTGAAATTTTTTTCCACTTATTAAAACACTGGCTAAAATCAAAGTTAGACCTGTCCGTTGCTTCAAATCAGCAAACATTTCCTCAGGGCCAGGTCCTGTAATTACAGCCACAAATGCAAAGATGAAGCATGAGGTCACTGCCTTCAAGAGAATCAGACTATAGCAAGAGAGGCAAGGCATACTGAATGATTACAAGACTTATTCCATCTGCTAAAGACAAGCACTGGCCTCAAGACTGAACAGAAGGGCGATCCAAGATGGCAGGCCAGAGGGAAGCAGCATTCTGTGTCGCTCTGTGACCTGGGTCTCAACTAGTGGGACTACAGCTTCTCTGACAGTGACACATGACCCCAACACAGCTGTTCCCGCTGTGCCCGCAGCATGGCTCAAGGCCTCAGCGTTAGAGCAGGACTCCCGACTCCCTGCACCCAACTCCCAACTACTAGCCTACGCAGGGCTCCCAAGTGCCTTAGCAGGATCACCACATCAGCACCAGCGCAGAACTCCCAAACGCCACTCTGCTCCCATGAGGACACTCAGCTGCTACTCACCCACAGGAACTCTGGCCGCCACTCCCCTGTGGACCCCCATCTACCAACGTGGGGCTCCCCAGTCGTCTCCATCTTGTGACTCGGCAGCTACTGCCATAGTCCCTTCACGTGGTAGTCTACCTGCACCTGGAGACATCCTACAGGCTCCCAGGACAGCCAAAAGCTGCAACACTGCACGCCACAGAGCTCATCTCTGAACACATCGCACAAAGCCATTGCCCAGCTCCCCGCATCCAACCCAACACCCTGACCCTGGAAGCAGCCAGCCTGCATCTGGGGTCACCTTCCTTGCCATCTTTGGTGGGGGGCAGCTCCCAAATTGGAACTCCAGCTGGCCAGGTACCCGGTTTCCAACTCCACCCTCTCCCCACTAGCCCGTAACCCATCACAGTAACTGCCCAACACAAAACAGCTCTCAGTGGGACGGGTAAGCAGTGTGACCAGGGCGCTGCCCACAGGAAACCTGGTGAGAAGGGTCCCTTAATTAGGAACTACAAAGGGAGAGAGAGAGAGTGCAACAGTTTGGAAACTAACAAAGAGATGAGGAACTGGGAAATCTTCAGGCAAAATAGGGAGATAGGACCGGGCGCTCAAGTCATATAAGCAGACCCAAAAGAGACCCTTGAGGTGCAGTCTCCCTCCAGGGACTCACTTCCATGTGTCCTGCACCAGAACCAGCCTTCCCATCCTGGTTACCTTCACCATCCTGATGGCAGAGATACCAGCTAACAACAGACAACCCCACCTATTGGATGAGAAGGGAAGCAAGAAAGATACTGGTCTCCAACCAAAACAATTAACAATCTTGGTTTCTTCTAGGTTTGTTGTTGTTGTTGTTATTGTTGTTGTTCTCTTTTTCTTCTCCCCCTCTATTCTCCCGCATCATATCCCCAACGTATGTGAAACCAAGAACTTTGCATGAATTAGGATTTTGAGGACTGGAACATGTGAATAGTATATTATATCTGTATAGTATATGTCTTTTTTTTTCTTTTTTTCCTCCAATTTTTACTATTTTAACATTCTTTATTTTTCTTAATACATATGTGTTTGTTTTATGTAATCTATTGTCTTCCCATGTACTTGTCTACCCAAAATTACTTCCTGTCCATTCTCCTGCTACTAACCCTCCTCATTAGAGTTCTCTTTCACACTTCCTAAGATATACTAACTCTATATTCTCACATTCTGCCTCCTCAGCATATCATCCTACAACTCACCCCCAGTTCATTGACCACCATCAGAAAATGTAAACACTTTTACAGACCTACTGATTATATTATAGATTATAATCAAATTCAACATTTCTGTATATTGTGAACAAACTCTAAACATCTTAATAGCAACAAATTGTTTATAGGTGGTATATTGTTTACTTTGGGATTTGTTAACATTGTCCTCCCACATAAAGGAGAGGTATTGGAACCCTAAAGGAGCACTATAAGCCTATAAGGTAAAAATGGTAATGCCATGGACCCACAGCGCTAGAAGGGAAGACACATGAGCAACAAGAAAAGACAAGGAAAGAAAGTGCCCCAAACAAATCAAGAAACCACATTATTAGAATCCATGACTAGCGCAGTAGAAGAAATGACAGAGAAGGAGTTCAGGATATACATCATTAAAATGTTCTGTGAATTAAAGAATTACATAAGAGAGCAAATATAGGCAACAAAAGATCATTTTGACAAAGAGCTACATAAACAAGTATAGGAAGCAGAAGATTACTTCAATAGGGAGACACAGGTACTAAAAAAGAAAAACAAACAAACAGAAATCCTTGAAATGAAAGTAACAATAAACCAAATTAAAAGTTCAATTGAAAACATCACCAACAGAGTAGACCACTTAGAAGACAGGACCTCAGACAATGAAGACAAAATATGTAATCTTGAAAAGAATGTAGACCACACTGTGAAAATAGTAAGAAAACATGAGCAGAACATTCAAGAAATATGGGATAAAATAAAAAGACCAAATTTAAGAGTTTTTGGTATACAGGAAGGCACAGAGTTCCAAACCAAAGGAATGAACAATCTATTCAATAATATCAGAAAAATTTCCAAACATTAAGAATGATTTGGAAAACCAAATTCAAGAAGCTTACAGGACACCAAATGTACAAAATTACAACACATCCACACCAAGGTACATTATAATGATAATGTCCAACATACAAAATGAGGAGACAATAAAAAAAAAAAAAGCCATAAGAGAAAATAATCAGATTATATAGAGAGCAAAACCAATTAGGATAACTGCAGATTTTTAAACCCAAACCCTGAAAGCTAGAAGATCCTGAAACAACATATATCAAGCTCTGAAAGAAAATGGATGCCAACCAAGAATCTTGTATCCAGAAAAATTAAGATTTAGATTTGATGATGAAATAAAAACTTTCCATGATAAACAAAAGTTAAAACAATTTACAACTAGAAAACCGGCCGTACAAGACATCCTTGGCAAAACATTCCAAGAAGAGAAAACAAAAAATAACAATGAAAATCAGCAGAGGAAAGTATTACACTAATGGAAAAACTTATCAAAGGAGAAACTAAGTCAAATTACAAAACAAAAATGGCTGGGATACAAATCATGTCTCAATAATAACCCTGAATGTTAATGGCCTAAACTGACCAATCAAAAGACATAGGCTAGCAGATTGGATTAAAAAAAAAAAAAAGACCCAACAATATGCTGCCTCCAGGAGACTCATCTGTTAGAAAAAGACATACACAGACTAAAGGTGAAAGGTTGGGAAAAATCGTACACCTCACATGGACTGTGGAAGCAAGCAGGGGTTTCCATCCTCATATCAAATAAAGTAGACTTCAAGTTAAAGTTTATCAAAAGGGACCAAAAAAAGGACATTTCGTACTGCTCAAGGGAACCATACACCAACAAGATATAACAATTATAAAAATATATGCCCCAAATAATGGAGCATCTATGTTCATCAAACAAATTCTTCTCAAACTCAAGAGTCAAATTGACCAAAACACAATAATCTTGGGTGACTTTACCACACCTCTCTCACCACTGGACAGATCTTCCAAACAAAAGGTGAGCAAAGAAACTATAGAACTTAATAGTATAATCAATAACTGACATATATAGAATATTTCATCCTTCAACAAGCGAATACACTGTCTTCTCAGTAGCACATGGATCCTTCTCTTAAAATAGACCATATGATATACCACAAAGCAACTCTAAGCAAATACAAAAAAATAGAGATACTACCCTGAATTTTATCAGATCATAATGGAATGAAATTAGAAATCAATAACAAATAAAAATCATTCCAACTACTGTAGACTAAATAATATGTTCCTGGATGAACAAAGGGTTGTAAAAGGAGGAGATTAAAAATTCCTAGAGGTAAATGAGAACACTGATACAACATGTTGAAATCTCTGGGACACTATGAAGTCAGTACTAAGAGGAAAGTTCACTGCATGGAGTTCATACCTTAAAAGAAGATGATGTCAAAAAATAAATGACCTAACATTACATTGTAAAGCCCAAGAAAAAGAAGAACAAATCAACACCAAAAGCAGAAGACAGGAAATAATTAAAATTAGAGCTGAAATCAATGAAATCGAAACAAAAGAAACAACTGAAAAAAATTGACAAAAAGTTGATTCTTTGAGAAAATAAATAAAATTGACAGACCCTTAGCTATGTTAACAAAGAGAAGAAGACAGAAAATTCAAATTACTAATATACGTGATGAAAAAGGTAAAATCACAACAGACACTACAGAAATACAGAGGATAATTAGAAATTATTTTGAAAACT